TCTAATGAACAGAGAGCTAAAAGTCGTTCTGGCTCCCTCTTATGGCCGATTGAGGAAAACAACAACCAATCACATTTTACAGTATGATTTAAAGAAACAGGTACCACATTGTTACATGATTTATACATTGCAAACCCAACCGTTAGAATTATATTCCTAACACACAGTCTCCTGGTTTCTAGGTCAGCATCTTAACCATTATACCAAACAGGCTGTCTAATTTGGATGCTATTCCAGAAAACTCCTAAGACTTAGAAAAACAGACAAGCTTATCCCAGTGTCATTACCTTTGTTGTTGTTGTTGTTGGGGAAATCTGAGGCCTGGAAAACTGTATCACTTGGAGGCATTTCTTTAGAGATGAGATCCTGGGTTAGGCTTTTCAGTTGAAGACTGTTATTTGTTTCACCATTAATCTAAGAACAACCGAGACGAATTAAGCTTTTTTAAACTGAAGAACTCCTTGTGATATACGATTAACTGCTTAGACCTGTGATGGCGAACCTATGGCAGGTCTGCCAGAGGTGGCATGCAGAATCCTCTCTGTGGGCACACTCCCCATTGCCGGATGCTTTTCTGGTTTCTGGTGTGCGCATGCGTGCTGGCCAGCTGATCTTTGCATGTGCCGTAGCCCCAGAAACCCAAAGACCAGCTGGCCAGCGCGCACCCAAAGACCAGGTGGGTGGCGAATGCAGGCGCACTGGCCAATTGGTCTTTGAGTTTCCAGGGCTGTGACACACGCTCCGGTTTGGGCACTCGGTGCCGAAAAGGTTTGCCATCACTGGCGTAGCAATAGCAGTAGCAATAGCAGTTAGACTTATATACCGCTTCATAGGGCTTTCAGCCCTCTCTAAGCGGTTTGCAGAATCAGCATATTGCCCCCACAGTCTGGGTCCTCATTTCATCCAACTCGGAAGGATGGAAGGCTGAGTCAACTTTGAGCCGGTGAGATTTGAACCGCCAGACTGCAGATAGCAGTCAGCTGAAGTGGCCTGCAGTACTGCACTCTAACCACTGCGCCCTCTGAGAAGGATTCAAAAGATCCATTAGTTTACTTTCAAAAAACCTCAATTAAATCCTAAGAATTACCACAGTTGGCAAAAGCTTCTTTGAAAGCCTATAAATGCAGAACTTCTTTAAAGCAGCTGCGTCTCTTTTCAGAGTTCCACATGATACTGAGATAAGACATGGCTACTTGCATTAGTTGAGCATTAAATGGGTGACTTAAAGCCTGAAAATTGGATCAGTGTATCCAAACCGCTTAGAGAGGGCTGTAAAAGCACTGTGAAGCGATATATAAGTCTAAGTGCTGTTGCTACTTATTTTCCTACCTTTACTAACATTCTACCAAGATGCATATTTATCTTTTATTACTTATTTGACAACTATTGTTTTACTTTCTATATGTTGTGTTATACATTATGTGACATCTTTCATCCTCATTTGGCAACATTCTTTTATATGAGATGTTTCACATCCAATCATTCTTTTCAAACCTTCAATTGGTATAACCACACATATCTCTGGCACTTTACAACATAACTCTTTGCATTGTGTTCCAAGGAGCTTTCATACCCTTTTATGCCTGTTTTCCATTTATTTATTCCAGTCATTATCTTCTTTTGTATACAGGAGTCATATTTTCTCTTCTTACGATTTTCCCCCTTCACATTTTTTCTCTATTTCTTTGCAGATTTATGTCTATTTTTTTTCTAAGATCTATTCTTGTAATTTCCAAAAACTGATTTATCCATGCATCAAGCCTCTTATCCCATTGTATCCACCACTTATTCCTTCTATCTTTCATTATAAACACGCAGAGCAGTTATGGTTTTTGATTCATTCCACTGCCATTTGTATGAACTAATAAACATGATTAAAACGATATTTTGTTTAAGCAGATGCTATCTGGGACCATTCTCATTCGTAGCTCAATTACTTTTTTGTACTTTTTGGTCTTGTTCTCACTCACCCAGTCATATCACATAACAATACATATTTCTAGATCACATTAAATCAGAGCGTGGCACACTTTTCTTTCCAAACTTATTATTAGCATACACTAGTCAGCAAACTGCGGCTCTGGAGCCGCATGTGGCTCTTTCATCCCTCTGCTGCAGCTCCCTGTCGCCAGTCAGCTCCACAATTGATAGGGTTTTCGGTTAGGACATGTAGAGGAAAAAAGGATGCCGCGGAAGGAGGAGACTCTATGGCGGGGGAACCAGACTTCCAGTCGGCTCCAGAATTGAACGGGGGGCTTCCGGTTAGGATCTTTGTGGCTCTTTGACTGTTTAAGATTGCTGACCCCTGCACTAGAGTATAACATGCAATAACTACCAATGGATAGATTTCTGCTTTCATGTACGTTTTCAGAAAAAAACCTAGATGACACCAATTCATAGCCTTTTCATTCATGGTTAAATCTACTTTTCCCTGCTTGAATTCAATTCCAACCCAAACGATCATTCAGCTTATTATATCCATACTTCAGATGTATGGACATCCTTTCTCTTAATTTCACAGGTGAACAACATGTATAGGCAGTCCTTGACGTACAAGTTTGTATAGTGAGTGTTCGGAGTTACAACGGCACTGAAAAAAGTGACTTATGACTTACAACCATTGTAGCATCCCTATGATCACATGATCAAAATTCAGACATTTGGCAACTGATTTGAATTTATGGCTGAAGTGTACCGGGGTCATGTTACACCTTTTGCAACCTTCTGACTAGCAAAGTCAATGGGAAACCAGATTCACTTAACTACTGTGCTACTAACTAAATAACTGCAGTGATTTACTTAATAAACATGACAAGAGAAGTCATAAAATGAGACAAAATTCACTTAGCAAATGTCTCACTTAGCAACAGAAATCTTGGGCTGGATTGGGGTCGAAAGTCAAGGACTATCTGTATTTCCTTCTGACTGACTGTAGTAATGAAATATTTCTCTTTTCCAGTTAATTATACCCATTCATTCTTGACTCCCCATAGAAAGCAAGAAATAGGCTAACTATAAATGGATGAATGAATGACCTGAATACCTGAATGAGCTCTATAATCCAGAGCTTCCTAAATGCATCTCCTTATTTTACTTTTTAATAGTGTTCAGTGTATTTCTTTCAAGTGTTTTTGACTGTAATTTTATAATCTTATAATTCATCATTGTGCTTCATGTTTTATAAATGCAAATTATATAAATAATGCTCATGATTACTTACTTTGCAATGATCAGGTCCACTTTCTGTTTTGCTACAATGTTCTCCCTGGAAGTGGCCTTTCAAAAAGAAGGCAGGAGAGAAAACAAGATTGGTTTATTATTATTTTTAATTTTATAGTAACAGATAAAATTATCTGGCCATGAAAAATATATTATTTCCTTCAGGTATCAAGTAAACATTGTCAAATATTTGAAATATGCCTGCCCCCTAACCCCAAACTCTCATTCAGATCAAACCTATGGAGTAATTATTTATATTGGCAAAGGAGTTCAATTAAACTGAACATGACATTCTCTTGAAAATCATTCATTACCTTAGGATATTATTCTGCAGAGAGGGTCAGCATGTTCAAAATTATGCCCTTACCATTCTGTTTGATTGACTTCAGACCAATGAATTCATGTTCTTTAGCTTTTGGAAATATCGGGTGGCCATCTCTGAAATCAGATAAAAAAAGGTTTACATACAGCTTTTGCCTCGGATACAAATGGATTTTACCCCCCTAAATATATTTAAAACTGGTGATGTTTCACCAACTTTTCATAAGAGACAGGTCTTGTCAGAAATACCTTGTATCATGGAATGCCTAACAGTCTTCGGAACAAAAGAAGTTAAGAAAGGAAATAGGGCCATTAGAGAAGAGATTCAGGAACAGGAAAACGTGAGAAAGAGATTCGGAGTAAGTCTGCCTTAAATACACATGGTATTAACTGTGTGGGACAATTACATTGGTAGGCTTTCAAGATTCAGCTTCATTACCCTAGAGGTAAAGGGTCCCCTCGCAAATATGTGCTAGTCGTTCCCGACTCTAGGGGGCCGTACTCATCTCCATTTCAAAGCCAAAGAGCCAGCACTGTCCAAAGACTTATCCGTGGTCATGTGGCCGGCATGACTAAATGCTGAAGGTGCACGGAGTGCTGTTTACCTTCCCGCCAAAGTTTTTTTCCACTTGCATTTTTTACGTGCTTTCGAACTGCTAGGTTGGCAGAAGCTGGGACAAGTAACGGGAGCTCACTCCATTATGTGGCGATAGGGATTCAAACCGCCAAACTGCCGACCTTTCTGATCAACAATGTCAGCATCTTAGTCACTGTGTCCCACGTCACTACCCCACTAAAAATCTTAAAAATCAGTAAAAATCTTTCGAGAAATCCAAGTGATTGTTATTTCTTAACCTTCCCAGCCTTGTAAAATTTCACCTGATAATTTCCAAGTCTTAAGGCTAAACCATCAGAGGCTTAAAATTTTCCAGGAGTAGCATTGAATTTTATCTATTTCATATTTAAAGTGTCATTAATTACTAGAAATATAACCTAAGCACCATTGATTTCCACGGACAGACATTGCTCAGAAGTACAAGAACCCAAATACTTCTTTGGTAGTGAGCAAATTGCATCTTGTCTTGGATCTCCATAGATATTTAACAGTGAACATGACTTTGGCCAGTGGAGGATAGGAGGGCCTGGCATGCTCTGGTCCATGGGGTCACGAGGACTCAGACATGACTCAACAAACAAACAAACTTCACTTAGTATGATC